CTCTGAAGTACCTCAGAAAACACTGGACTAAAAGAGTAGAAAGAAATACATATACGTGGCATGATTTGGGAGAATAGATTAAATGGAAGATGGAATCCATATGGAAAAAATTTAGACATATTTTTAGTTTTTTTAAAAGTAACAGCTTTATTGAGCTATAATTCACATACTGTACAATTTACAAATTTAAAGTTTATAATTCAGTGTTTTTGGTATAGTCACAGAATTGTGCAACCATTACCACAATCAATTTTAGATCATTTTCATCACTCCCCCAAAAAACTCTTTACACATTAGCTATTATCCCCCAACCCCTTTATCTCCCCAGCCCCAGGCAACCACTGGTCTACTTTCTGTCTCTGTAGATTTGCCTGTTTGGGGTATTTCATATAAATGAATTCATACAATCTGTGATTTTTTTTCTTGTTGTTGTTACTGGTATCTTTTACTTAGCATAATATTTCCAAGGTTATCCATATTGCATCATAAACCAATCAGTACTTTATTCCTTTTTATTGTTGAATAATACTCCTTTTAAATAATGTTATCTATTTATCAGTTGGTGGACATTTGGGTTATTTCCACTTTTTGGTTATAATAAATAATGCTGCTATAAACATTTGCGTATAGGTTTTTGCAGAGATGTGTTTTCATTTCTCTTGCATATATACCTAGGAGTGGAATTGCTGGGTCATATTCTAAGTCTATGTTTGGTCTTTTGAGGAGCTGCCAAACTTTTTTGAAGTGGATGCACCATTTTACATTCCCTTCAGCAGTGTATGAGTCTTCTAGTTTTTCCTCATTAACACTTATTATTTATCTTTTTGAATATAGTCATCTTTGTGGATTGTAAGTGCTCATTGTCTTACTCCTTTTTGGCTGCTATTGCAAAATGCCAGAGATTGGGTGGCTTATGAAACATTTATTTTTCACATTTCTAGAGGCTGAAAAGTCCAGAATCATGGCTCCAACAAATTTATTTTTCACTGAGGTCTTCCTGGATCATAGACAGCTGTGTTTTTGCTTTGTTCTCGTTTTGCTTTGTTTGGAAGGGGTTAGGGAGCTCTGTGGGGGTCACTTTTATAAGAACTAATCACATTCATGAGGGTGGAGCACTCATGGCCTAAGCATCTCCCAAAGCCCTACTTGATATCATATTGGGCATTAAGATTTCAATCTATGAATTTTCAGGGGACACAAACATTTAGAGCATAGCATTCATTAATTTGCATTTTTTATGACAGCTAATCATAGGCTTCATTTTTGTCCAGAATATTAACCAATATATATACCCTTCAGGGGCAATATTGGATTTCTAAAATACAAATTTGAATAATTTTATCCCAAAATATTTTCTCCTCTGTGAAAGTTCTTCATTCATATTCCATAATTATGTATTTCCTCTGGATTTGTCATGTAGCAGTTAAGTTATAGTGTATTTATTATATAGCATTAGATTGTATTGACTAACATTTTATTAAATTATAATATACTGTCTTATTAGTTACATCGTTTCTGGGGGCCGTATTATTTCCTCCAGGAAAACTGCAAATCTTGGAGGACAAAGTCTATGCCTCTTGTTTATTTTGAGAACTTTTAGGACCTAATACAAAGTTGAGCATGTAGTTTGGGCTCACTAGGAATTTTATTGACTAGTTCAGTTGATTGCTCATTTTTGCTAGGCTGGTTTAAATTAAGTCTTAAAGTTAAAAAGAAAATAACTGAACCAATATCCATAAAGAATGAACTTCATTAAGTATTGAGTAATTGGAATTTTGCCAAGTTAATTTTTCAAAATTCAGAGCTTAACAGAGCGTGATGATTATATAAAATATCTCTACAGTGGGGGTTTGGGATGATTCCTTGTGGAGAGGGGCTGTTGCACAGGGTTTCATAGAGTCAAGTGGGGAGTTTTTCTCTTCTTTCTCACTAGGACAAATAGAATCACATCCATGGTTATACTGGGGATATTCAGAGGCTTACCAAGGAGTATGTGAGCAAAAGTAGTTTTAAGGGTATTGGTTTTCATTTGTTCAACTTCCACATATCCTCTACCAAAATTAATTTGATTGATAACTCATCTGTCTTTTTTCTTTTCCACCTCCCCTTTCAAAATTGCTGCTTTTTCATTTTATACCAAAGAAATGCAGACCTGTCAATCATCATGCTGCTTGACTCTGTGCTGTAAAAACCTCCAGGGAAGAGAGAGTGAGTAAAGACAATTTCAAAATACTGGTGTCAACAAAGTCTTCTTCAATCAAGGGGCCATAGCCTTTCCTCTAATCCTTCTCATTAAGATAAACATTTCCAATACATTTTTTTTTGTTTAGTGATTACTCACGAAAATTTGTGAAATAATTATATTGTTTTGATCAATTATTTACTACTAATGCTTTTAATATAAATTATTATTTATTATTATGTAGTACTAATAATTGTAACAACACCTCACTCTAGAAGAAAACATAATTCTTAGATGTTTAAGATTACTGGCAATAAAAATAAGTTTTCATTTATAGACATGTTTTTGTAGCAAAAAGCATGATAAGATGATCAAAAGTACTTTTGCGCATAAAAATTACATTACTTTAAAATTATATTTTGTAGATACTGTAGAGGAAGTTACCTGTAATTATTATTTCAAGAAGGAAAAGGTCCAAGGCAAAATTCTGACAAGTAAAGTTTGTCATATATTTGCTCATATATTAATAAAATAGATGATGCTGGCATCAAATTGATGTGAAATTTATAGTCCATTTGTTGTATTTAAAACAGGAATGTTAGTACTTATAATATTTTAGAAATTACATTCTTTACAGCTATAGAAACTATGGTTAAGAAGATATTTTATATGTCAACCTAGAAATTCATGAGTGGTACATACTTTCCCCGAACTTTTTTAGGGGTATTGAGCAAAAAATAATAATATAGTCAAGAAATTGCTATGGTTCAAGATAGGGTACTTTCCAACAGCACGAGCTTCATTTTTGTAACTTATTTTCTTCTCTGATGCAGTCTATTATATTAATTCTTGTCCTGATTTAATATGAAAATCTTATGTCGGGGATGGGATGGGAAAATGAATAGAATAGCGTCTGTCCAGCTTCTACTTCTGGAAGTCATCTCAGAAGAAGGTCTTCAGTGATTCCAGTGAGATGTGAACCAAGCCTGCTTTACAAGACCTTCTGAGATGACCCTTGATCTTTGCCCTCTGAGTGATTTTCATCCTTTCTTATGGTGTTTTGGTCAAAATGTAAAGAGCATTTTAAAGTATTTTCAAGTTAAAAGAAAAATCTAGTTATGTCTAAATTATAGCAGGTCAAATTTCAGAAAAGTGGTTACATTTAAACATAAGAGTATTGCAAGTTGGTAAGTATATTGCAATGTTTGATTTGGCAGGGGAGAGGCAAAGCTTTAACCGAAGGTAGAATTTTCATCTTTTCAAGCCAAATATGGTAAGTTTTTAACTTTTGACAATGTCTATCCATATATAGATCTCTGTTTATAGTTTGACTGGATTTATCACTCACACAACTCAGTCTTGCATGTGGCAAAATGGGATTTTCCTGCCTTTGACCCTTTCTTGTGTTTTGGCACTTGCCCTGCTCCAAATGAGGTCTAGGTCCATGAAAAATTAAGCTAATACAAGGAGATCTTTGTCAAGATGGAGAAAAAAGACGAGGAATTGCTGTGGAGTTAGGGTCATGGGAGGAAGTGGGTGCAATCATTAAGAAGAATGTAGTGAGAGACTATTTCCAAGGATATGAGATGAGTAGGGGGAACCCCAACAACGATGGAGGCCACTGCCAAATACAGGCTTGAAGGACAGGGGAAGGGCTGGTAATCAGATCCAGAAGTCAGCTATTGGTGTAGCCTTTGGAAGATGAATACAGCTATTGGTGGTTTTTGAGGATTTAAACCCCAGATTCATTCTCCTACCATGCATTAATCTTCAGCAGGTGCTACGCACTGGTCAAAACCAGCTAGAGGACAGAGGGCAGGGCCACCCTAGATGCAGTGCATAAAGCCAGCTCTCTGGTGAAAAGAGCAGGGTAGGAAGGATGGAGAGTGTACTTAAAGAGCACTTGGAGGATATCCAGCATGGTGAGAATAACAATACACTAGAGCTGTTAGAGGTTGTCAGTGTAAGAGAAACTTGTATATTATAGCCGAATTGCTCCTACGTTTCTAAGGGAATTAAGAATCGTTATGAAATTATATTTGAGTGCACCCCCGCCCCTCACCCATTTATATGTTGAAGTCCTAACATCCAATAAGATGGTATTAGGAGTTGAGTTTAGATGAAGCCATGAAGGTGGAGCCCCCTTGATGAGATCAATGCCCTTATAAGAAGAAAAAGAGGTACAAGTATTTCCTCTTTGTGTTATGGGAGGATACAAAGAGAAGGCAGCCATCTGTAATCCAGGAAGAGGGCCCCCACCAAGAACCTAACCATGCTGGAACCCTGTTCTTGGACTTCCCAGCCTCCAAAGTGTAGGAAAGTGAATGTCTGTTGTTTAAGCTACCCAGTCTATGGTATTTTGTTGTGGTGGCCCAAGCTGACTAAGGCAAGGGGTCTGGAGGTCTTAAAGCTGTTCTCTGTACAACATACACATATTCCTTGTCTGAGAGCCAGGACCCTGCGGAAGTTACAGGGACAATAGGAACTTTTAACGCAGATGTAGTATGAACTGATAAGGGGACTGATAGAAAGGAAATGAACTTTTGTTTCATTCTCTGGGAACTCTGCTTTATCATGCAATAGTAACATTTTCCTTTCTCATAATGAATTCTTCCTCTCTGTATTTCCAGGCATTAGAAGCATAGTTACGAAAATTATATAAGTATATGTTGTATGTATGTATGTATATGTATATATGTACATATGTACACATTTACATATATGCATTTCTAAATGTTGATTATTAATTAATTTTACTGAATTTTAACTTAAGAATAAGTTTTACTCCAAAGTGTTTAAAACAGTTCCTATATCTATAGTACTTCAGTCTTAAGTCATAGTATCAAAACTATATATTTCAAAACTATATTTAAGTTGTTTGTTTCAGAACTTGTATAATTCTGTTAGATTAAACTTTTAACACTATTTATTCTAGTGTTACATTTACAAATAGATAATTTAAAAAGAAATAAGTAAAGAAATATTTCACTATATCATTGAAACAGGGTCAATGACAATATGATGAATTTATTTGTTCTTTAGGCAGTATTCCAAGTTATATTGTCAATGAGATGAGACCTACCTGGTTTAATCTAGCCAGATGATCATGAGAACTGGGGTAGAGAAACAGTGGATTAGTAAGGAAGAATAGTAATTTGGAAGCATGATTTAAGGAGAAGCCAGTCTTCTGGGGTTAAAATAAGTGAAATAGGGAGTGATTTGGAGGAGATGTATGCTTTCTGCTGATTGAAGTTAACTGAAAAATGAGGTACAGAATACACTTAATTATATAGAATTTGAATCTTCAGACTCTTTTTAGTGTGGCAAAATGATTGTGCATTTTAAAATGGTTGAATGGAATGTGCTGTATCAGAATCTGGAGAAAGGGCATCAAATAGAATTAAAAAGAGGAAAGATTACAAATCTATCCTAGTAGGATGAGAAAAGAGTTAAGTGGAGGCTAGATGAAGAAAGCCCTCAAAAGTTAAGGGAACTGTTTTGTCTTTTCTTTCTATTTTTTAAAGCCCTATTAGCGTTTGCTTGTACTTAATCAATTACTTTTTCTGAAAATTAATAACGATCTTATGTAGTTTCTTGACATATAAGCTTACCCCCTCCTTCAAAAAAAGAGTATCTTGAAGCTATTTGAAAATGCAAGTTTGATCACGTACTTCCGATTGTGACATTTATGTACTCTAGAGTTGTGATAAATGATTTTACAAGGCAAATTCATCTAATCATGCCCCAGAACAGGGAAATTCCTACTTGTATTCTTGTCCTCTCAATTCTTCAGTGATCTTAGATTAATTGTTTAATATCCTTTCTTGTTGTAAACTGATCTTATTAAATTATTTTGTTTTTTAGTATGAATGTACTGAGCTCACATTTTTTTATGACAAAATATATTATTATAAATTCTCATTTTCTTGATTTACTTAAGTCTGTGGGTGAAAAAATGACTATAACTTTTTTGGGGAGTTTCTATTTACCAAATCGTGGCTAATAGTAATATCATATTAACATTATGTATAAGTTTATATATGTGTGTATGTGTGTGTATTTCTTTGGAATAATACATTTATTATAAATGACTTTTAAATTAATTTAATTAATCTTTTAAAAAATTCTTATGGATTATAAATTTTCTGTAAGCAGTGTAAATACTTTGCAAAACAGATGTTAGATGTTCTTTTCCATATTTTACATGGTAGATTTTAGTATGTATCAACTTTAATTATTAGCAGTATAGAATTTGTTATGTGGTTCTCCACAAGTTATTTTCTCTGATGTATCGGCCACATTTTTGTTGTCTTCTAACTTGTGCAATCTGTAACCCATTATAATCATTTGTATTAAAATTACATTTTATTGAACATCTAAATTGCTTACTCTGAGTTTCTTAAAATGGTAATTATTTTTAAATATTTTAGAATCCTTGTGATTTTGACAATGTTAAAGGTATTTAAAGGAGAAAATGTATACATTCTGAAATGTATACATTTGATAGCCTCTGAAGTTTCAATGAGTGTTTAATGCTCTATAAAGAATATTTTTTCACTGTCTGGATTGGGATGCAGATATTTCTGAAATATAAAACATTCATATATCCCTTCAACTCCTCAATCAAAAGTCAAAACACACACACCTCAGTGTGTCTGCTTTGCATCCAAGTGCTGAGTTTGGTTGAAGGAAGTGGTCATAGGTCATAAGGAAAGCAGGAGGATGGAAGGGTGTCATGACATATCTTCCTAGCCTGGCTCTTTGGACTAGAATTAGGCCCTTGGGATCAGTAAGGAAAAGCTCAAAGTTGGACGAACTGTTTCATAAAAGAGTTTCTAAAATTTTGGATATTTTGGAACTACTTTGGGACCCATTCTCCTTGACTTTTTGTGAAATTCAGTCCTGCTCTGGCATCCCAAAGTTTAACAGCTTTAAGAACTTCAGGAATCAGCAGGTGGAACAGATTTTGGGTTGGTATGCATCATCAGTAGAAGCAATTTTAAGCTTCTTCAGTAAGGTTCAATGAAATAGAGGGAGAGAGGATGTTAGATGCTGCCAGATGACTATAGATAATGAAGATTGGTCAAATGAAAATATTGGTGGCCTCTATTTGGGAGTATTAGAAGTAATCAGAGAACACTTTTGAATAGGTTAACATTCTTAATGGAGCCATCATAATTTGGATAGGTATATATATACACTGGTGAAACAAAGTTATAATTCATTTGTGATAAAATAACACACATATGTGTGTATGTGCATATAACCTAAAATTATGACTTTCTTTGGAAGAATATGTTTATTATAAAAGGATTTAAATTAATTAAATTAGTCTTTAATGGTTATATTTGTTGTCTATAATGTATGGGAATTTAAAATTTAGTGTTTAGCAGAGGCGACTGTCTACAACCGGTTATAACATGATAGTAAATGTCTGTGTTAAAATTTTCAAGTTGTAATTACAACATATTGCTTCAGGTAGCAATTTCTGAAAGAAATTGCCACATAAACTCTACTTAGTCTGAGTCTATACTTACAATATGGTCCCACCGAGGAAAAATTCTGTACCAAGGCTATATTAAATAACCAAGTGTCTAAAACCAGCTCTAACCTCCCATAGTAAACAACTAGACAACTGAACAAAAGAGTGAAATAATTGTTTTTAGTGGCTGGAGAACAAGCAGCACAGGACTGCGATCCTTGTGAGAAAAGAAATAACTTATAAACTCTATGATCTTCTTGGCTTTTTACTCAGAATCAATTTCCAACTGTGGGCACAGAAGGGGAAACCCAAACAGATCCTGGAAGTATCGCTGACTTGAGAAGATGGAAATCAGAGTTTGGGGAGCCCAAGACAAGTTTGGAGGTTATCAGGTAGAGTTTTGGAAAGGAGGGTACTTTATAAGAAAAAAGCTCCATTAAGAACTAGGCTGCCCATAAATAGAAGAAAGCTTCACAAAGATGGACCAAAAATGACCATGTCACTGTAAATGAAAATATTCCCAGAGCTCATGAAGGGATGAAGACACTTGAGCTCTGACCATCCAGAATGGAGAGCTCTTGATGATCATCTGGGAAATTTGATGGAGAGCCCAGGAGTCCTGCCTTAGAAGCAAAAGTAAACTAACACTGAAGTGGAAGCTGTTTTAGATCCACCCTAACAAGATATATAAATAGACCTCAAAGATGATAAAACTGATCTGCAACTTATTTAACTCTGTAAAGGAAGAAAACAACATCTAAGCAACTAACAACATAAAATTCATAATATTCAGCATTCAATAAAAAAGTTAATAAACAAGCCAAGAAGAAGGAAAATGGAACTAATTACCAAGGAACAAATTAGTCAATAGGAAAAGCACAGAAATAACAATGTTGTTAGAATTAGCAAAGAGGTTAAAAACATGGAATATAGCAAGGGGAAAAACATAAACTATTAAAAAGAATCAAATGAAATTAGGAATACAAAATACAATATATGAAAATAAAGAAATGATAGCTCCAAATTTTCCAAATTTGATGAAAATTATAAGCCCACAGTTCCTAAAAGCACGAGACCCAAAGCAGGATGAACACACACATGCTAACACAGATATAACAAGGTTTACCATAATCAAATACCTAAAAACTACTGAAAAAGAATATTTTAAAAACAGCTAAAGAAAAAAGACATGATATACAGAGAAACAAAGACAAATTACAGGAGATTTCTTGTAATTTTATAAACCAGAGGACAGTAGAATGACATTTTCAAAGTACTAAACAAAAAAAGCTTTCAATCTAAAAGTCTAGAAACAGCAGCATTGCTCCTCAAAATAAAGCCAGATAAAGACATTTTTCAGAAAAAAATTTAAAAAATTTGTTGCCAGCAGACCTGAATTGCAATAAATGTTAAAGGAAGTTCTTCAAATGGCGAGGAAATGATACCAACTGGAAATATAGATCATTACAGAGAAAAGAAGAGCAGTAGTAGTAAAGCTAAATATATGCTCAAATACAAAGGTTTTCCCCTTGATTTTTAGTATCTTTTAAAAGTATTTAATTGCTTAAACAAAAATGATACAATGTATATTTTGAGTATAACATATGTAGAAGTAAAACGTATAACTACAATAGCACAAAGGAGAAGAGGGAGAAGCAAAAGAAGATACAAATGACCAATAAACACATGAAAATATGCTCAACATCATTAGTTATTAGGGAAATGCAAATTAAAACCATTATGAAACACTACCACATGTGTACTAGATTGTCTAAATTTAAAAAGATTGACTATACCAAGTGCTGGCCAGTATATAGAACAACTGAAAGTTTCATACATTGATTTGGGTGATATAAATGGTAAAATCACTTTGGAAAATAGTTTTAGAGATTCTTATAAAGTTAAACATACACTTACAACATGATTTAGAAATTCCACTCTTGGATTTTTACCCGAGAAAAATGGAAAGCGAAATGCACATAGACTTGTACATGAATGTTCACAGCACCTTTACTCATAATAGCCTGAAAATAACCCAGGTGTCCATCAAAAGGTGATGAATAAACAAATGATGGTATAGTTATAAATGGAATACTACTCATCAAAAAAAGGAATAAAAGTACTGGTACATGTAACAACATAGATGAATCTCAAAAAAATATTATGTTGGGTTAAAGGAACCAAATCCAAAGAATACACACTATGCGATTTCATTTCTATGAACCTAAAGAAAGGACACTAATTTAAAGTGACAGAATAAAAATCAATAGTTACCTGAGAATAAAATGCTGGGAGGTGGGAGGTGGCCAGGGTTCATAACTTGGGACACAAGGACTTTCAGAGGCAATGAACATACACTATATATTGACGACAGTATTTATATTGTAAATACGTTTGTCAAAACTCAGTGAAATGTGTATTTTAAATGGGTGCATTTTACATATATAAATTATACCTCAATAAAGTTGATTAAAATATGCCATCAATAAAACAGAAAGGAAAATAATTTACTTCTATTTGCCTGAAGAGTGGAAACATTTTGAAGAGTTCTGTGGTGTACTTGGCCAGGCCTGCTTTAAGCTTATTTACTACAGGAAAGTACAAAAATATGTAACTATGGCAAGAGAGTAATTGCGTCCATTCACTAATTTGTATCCTTAATTTTGTATATTCTATTAGTGCTTATTTCTGGTTTGAAGTAAAAGCATCCTTGAATTAATTTGGCATTGTCCTTCTTGCTCATTTTAGAAACAGATCCAGTTGAATAACTAAGTAATAAAATCTCAGAATGGTAAATACCTAGAAATTACTTTTCCCAGTATCTGAGGCCAAAGAAGATAAAATTACTGTCCAAAGTCACAAAGCTAGTGAAAGGCAAAGCCTTGATTTTTAAGCTGAAAATTCTGCTTTTAATTGTTATTAAATTTTATAATATAACCCTTTCTTCCTGCATCTTGTTACTCTGTCCTTGTCCATTCTGCTCTTGTATCTCCCTAGATAGGGGTTTCTTGCCTTCCTCATGCTCTTTTATCCTGTTCTTATATCTGTGCCTTTGTTCATATTACTCTTTCAGCTCGAATATCCTTTTGACTCTCAGCAAATTCAGATAATGAAGAAAAGTTGCCATACTGTTATACTACACTGTTTCTCTTTCTTAATAAAAAATATTTTATTATACTTAATGAAATGCATTCATCTATGTTATTTTAACCTAAATCTTTATATCCATCACTTGTGTTATGGACTGAATTGTGTTCCTCCAAAATGTGTATGTTAAAGCTCTAACCCTCAATGTGATTGTATTTGGAGATAGAAACTTGAAAGAGATGATTAAGGTTAAGCGAAGTCATCAGGGTGGGGCCCTAATCCAATAAGACTAGTGTCTTTATATGAAGAGGAAGAGACACCAGGAATGCACATGCATGGAGAAAAGTTCAGGTGAGGCCATCTACCAGCCAAGGAGAGAGGCCTCAGGAAAGATCAACCCTGCAAGGACCTTGATCTTTGTTTTCTAGCCTTCAGAACTGTGAAAAAATAAATTTCCTTTTAAGCTACCTAGACTGTGATATTTTATTCTGGCAGCCCTAGCACACTAATACAATTCTTTCTGAGTACTTTCTTAGAATTCATCTATTCCAAGAAAATATATCTAACCCATACTTAGTGTTTTCTCTACCTTTAGTATCTATTTTATAATTTATTATGTTTTATTTGCTTTAGCTTTTTTATAGGCAATAATGTCATAAACTATAAGAATGCTTTTATAATTCATTATTTAGTGTCCATAGGCACTTCTTTTGTAAACTGGAATTATTTGTTACTTTGACCTGAGGTTTATAAAGCCTGAGTATAGGCATTGCTTTATGATTGTAAGCTGTTTGAATTGTACAATTGATTTGCTTATCAAAGACTCATTCTCAGTCAATATATTTATAAAAAAATTGTCCAGTAAAACACAAGTTCTCAACAAATTATTATTTTTCATAGCACAATGGGAACCAGACCCTAATAAGTATATTCCCCCCTCTTTTAGATGTCCTTTATGTACAAATTATTTTAGAATTCTTTAGACATATAGGCATGCCTCATCTCCTGTGAAGGCATACAGTACATCTTTGATTCCTTTTGTATTATATTACTTATTGAAGGGAAAAAGGAAGGAAGAAGGGAAGGAGTATAGGAAGGAAGAAAGGGAGGAAGGAAAGAAGAAAAGAAGGAAATGATAGTTTTATACTCCAACGTTTTCTACATGTTCTTTATAAGTAGGGAAACCATTTCAAATCTAGGGTATGGATTAGTGAAAGACCCAGATAATGTGTATTATTAGATAGAGGGTGGGATGTTCAAATTCAGGATTGAGGGTGAGTGGGAGTAAAATAGTTCTGCATTAGGAAGGCTGAGGGAGAAAATTATTGAAGAAAAAGAGCATGAAGATGGAATGTGGCTAATTGGAGAAATTAAAGGGAAGAGGGGGAGGACAGGTGATTGGGGAAGGTCAAGGATTGAGTTTGAGAGAAGTACTAGGTGCTGATAAAGAGCATGGGAAAAGATATATGTCTAACAAGTAATATTTGAATTGTGCATTTCTCTATCTCTGAAATAATCACTAAAACATCATTATTGTCTAAAATTTTTGGACATATAAAGTTTTGTTAAATATTGAGGAAGAGAACATGAGGAAAACCTTCAGTGTTACATAAGTAGAAAGAATGCATAAATCTAGAAATCTCCACAGTGTTCCTGATTGTAATAAAAATCAAGAGCTATTTAAAATATTTAAAATAGCAACGTGAGAGTACTGTCATATACCATGCTACCTGATTCTTTGATTGTTGTTTAGCAAGATATTTGAAAGACTACCACATTAGAGCAAAACTCTGGGGTCGAATTTAAGTAAATAAAAAGAATGTCAAATAATTGTTAATCACCAACATGGAAACTGCTTTTAAATCAATTGAAGGACAGCGTACTTTATTGTTCCCACTCTAGTGGAAACGATTTTTATTAAATAAAGCTGAATTTACAGAAGTGTTCCAGAAAATGTATAATGTCTCAGAAGTATTTCACTTTATGAATATACCATAATTTGTTTATCCATTCACTTATTGAGAGAAACCTGGCTTATTTCCAGTATTTGATTGTTATGAATAAAATTTCTATGAACCTTCATGTATAAATCCTTTTGTGGATATATGTTTTCATTTTTCTTGTATAAATAGAGGAAGGAATAATAGGTCATATGGTAAATAGATGTTTGACTTTACATGAAAATGTAAAACTGTTTATTTGTATCATTTAATACTTCCAAAAACACTGCACAAAGTTCCAGTTGCTCCACATACTTGTCAACACTTGGCATTATGTCTTTTTAACAATAGCTGTTCCAGTGGGTGAGTGGTGATATCTCATTGTGGTTTTAATTTGTGTTCATAACTAATGGTTTTGAATATCTTCTAATGTCCTTATTAATAATTTATAATATTTTTTGATGAAGTATCTGCTCAGGACTTGTCATTTTTTAAAGTGTGTGTGTGTGTTTTGTCTTCTAATTATTAACATTTTAAAGTTCTTTGTAAAGTCTTGACACAACTTCCTTGTCAGATATGTGTACTGTATTTTCTCCTATGGCTTGTCATTTCATTTTCTTAATGACGCTATTCAGAGAGTAGAAGTTTCTAATTTTATCCAATTTATCAATTTTCTCTTATGGTTCATATCTTTGGTATCCTTCCTAAAAAAATCTTTGTTTACTACAAATGTACTCTGAATATATTCTTATTTATTTTCTCTTAGCTTTCATATTAAGTCCATGATCCATTTCACGTTAATTATTGTGTATGGTGTGAAATCAAGGCTCATATTTTTCCATGTACATATGTAATTGTTTTAGCAATATTTGTTGAGAAGAATTTCCTTTCATATTGAATTATCTTGGTGACTTTATTAAATAATATTTGCCCATTCCATGTGTGGTCTCTTTCTGAACACTTTTCTGTTCCTTTGATCTGTAGTATATCTTCACACTTCACTCTCTCAATGTAGTATTAAGTCTTGAAATCAAGTTATGTAAGTCCTCCAACTTTGTTCCTTCACAAAATTGTTTTGGCTATTCTACATTTCTTGTACATATATATACAAAAAATATGTGTATCATAGAGTCTAGCATTTGTGTGTGTGTGTGTGTGTGTGTGTGTGTGTGTCACAATCATCTTGTCAATTTCTACAAAAGCCTCTGGGATTCTTGAATGTAATTGTGTTGAGTCTATAGATCAATTTATGGAAAACGGGCATTTTAATAATATGGAGTCTTCCAATCAAGCCACATGATATACCTATCTATTTATTTAGGTCTTTAAATTTTCTCAGTAGGGTTTTGTATTTTCAAAGATCCAACATACCTTTTGTTAAATTTATTCCCAAGTGTTTTATGTTTTTGATGATTTTATACCTGGTAAATTTTAAATCTTAATTTTCCAATGATCTGTTTTGAGTATATAAGAATATAATTTATTTCTGTTAATTAACCTTGGATTCTGAGACTTTCATAAACTTATCATTACTTCTGGTTGTTGTTTCATTGATTCCTTAGAATATTTTATGCATTCAAGCACAACATTTGTAAATAGCAACATTTCTAGTCCCTTCTTTACAATCTGTATATCTTTTGTTTTCCCTGCCTTATAGTACTTCCAGAACTATTAAGTAGAAGTGGGAAGAGTAGACATCTTTGCCTTGTTCTTGATCTTAGAGGGAATTGTTCAATATTTCACTATTAACTATAATGTTAGTTGTGGGTTTTCCTTAGACGCCCTTTATTAAATTGAGGAAGTTGCCTTCTATGCCTATTTTGCTAAAAGTCTTTATCATAAATGGTGTTTAATTTTTATCAAATAATTTTTCTTCATCATTGAAATAATATTATGTTTTTTTCTTTATTCTGTTATTGTGTTTACTTACATTAATTGACCTTCGAATTTTGAATCAACCTTGCATTCCTGGG